TCTAAATCTACCCTCCTTTAGTTTAAATCCGTTACTCCTTGAGTAAGAGATGATTTGCCTTAACCCAAGTTCTGCCAAAAATGACTCCATACATAATGTCTACTAAAAGTTTCAGGCTTTGAAAAAGAACTAAATATTATTTTAGGAGATTGTTAAAGACAGGTATATAATGATGAATTTTAAAAAAAAGTAATGACCAATCTTCATTTTGGTGTCTAGACTTCATTTTCTGTTGCTCATTCACATGTTCTGACTCTGTCTTTCCAAAAATACTCACCTTTGTTCCCCAAAGAAATAACAGCATAAAGCTCTAATAATTTTTCACCAGGTGCTAACTGAAACCAGGATTCATAACAGCTGAGGCAAGACAAATTATATACTTGATCAAGTGAACAGAATTAGAAAGAAGCAAATCAACTATTTTATTTCTCTTTGCATTCCGTCGACAGCTAACTAACCAGATGTGACAGTACTTGGGATCGCAGTGGTCACTTTGGCCAAAGGTTTCGTCTTCCATAGGGTAATTCCTCTGGCTGCCATGATAAGTGATCAAGGCTATCAAACACGCTTCAGCACTGAGAAAATGCAGAATTAATTGAGCTCATACACTTTCTTTAAGTATTTTGATAGACTAAGGCCAAAGTGTTTGCAGAAGCAAACTTTAAAGCATGCTAGGGAAAAAAAGGCTAATGCTATTTTGAGTAACATGCATCAGTAAAGATTAATGAAGAATCTCACAAACCTGCTTTATCTGTTGCAGAGACTGTCATAATTGGCTAGAAATTTAATAATTGTTCCCAAGAAGGATGATGATCTTGCAGGGGTGAAAAATGCATGTGTTTTTTTAATCTATATTTAGCTTAAGTATATTTAACACTCTTCCATCTTCATTAGTCCTTACTGAAATTTTTGTTCCTCTCCTACTCACTTCCACATCTTCAGGTAACACTCTATACTACGTATCAGTTAGCAAGCTGACCTTATCCAGCTACCACATGGTCTTCCCCGCTTTGTGTTCTCATACGTATAATGTATCTTCTCTTACCATGCACGAACAGTGACATTACTTTAAACCATCCTACTTAAAATTATTATTGAGCCAAAGGAACACACTTCTCCAAAAATCAATGCTGAATCAAATTTATGTCTTGCTTAAAACACAGCATCAACTGTGGTCCCTATTCTCCTGAGTATATTATTAATTGTACACCTAAAGCATGTTCATAGTCTGTGTTTACTCTTGGGTGATTCTAAGGTTTATATGAATGAGAAAACAGTAATGTGATTATTTACAAGTAAAATAATATTTTCGCTGTCTTGGCACTTGAGCACAATGAAAGCAAAAACCAGTCAGCTTTCACCTGGGTTTCTCTTTAGAATAGTCAGCTCAAGGGGTAAAAGCCATCACTCATGAAGAGCTAGAACGTGGGAAAAAAGTTAAGAGACTCAAAAACCAAGGAAATGTATTGCTCGAGCAATTTTTATTGCTTTTTTGGTGGAGGTTATATAGATTTTTTTTTCTTAGCTCCCATAATCTCAGCAATGACTTAGAAACCATCATAGCAGCATCTACGGGCAAAAGAGATCAAACAGTTGAAATAATGACCATATAAGAGCGAGAAGCAGCCAGAGGAATTTGTGTTTGTCATCACTGGCAAAAATCCATTCACATGGTTCAGAAATTTTTGCCACCTATGGAAAGCAAAGGACTGATTAACTGCTCGGATTATGCTGTCGGGGTGAGGATAGTGCTTCCTCTAGGAAGAAACACTCCTGCAGAGATACAAGCAACATTTTACTGAAGGTTATTTTTTCCTGATCTTCATTTCCTATTCAGAAGGGTCGCTAATAGTTATTATTATGTAATAGCAGGTAAATCTTTCATGCTACAGCTTGTGATGCATATTAATCAGGGTTCTTGCCAAATTAAATTAGTTTTTTCAACATTCAAAAAGCAGTTAAACTTCTAATGACATTTTCCCCGTCTCTTCATCAACCTATTTTTGGAGCAAAATAATGCACTCAGGCCTGAAGTAAAGACACTTGAGCCTCAGGAATGGAAAACAGCCACAAGCCAAAATGTATTCACAGGAGAGCTATAGGGCAATAAGGTTGTCATCTGTGCACAAAAATACTTTCAAAAACGTAAACATGATGTTAAAATCTCCACCACTCCCTCCTGCATATTAAAGTCACATACACTGCTTTGTGCTTGCTGTTACGAGCAGGAAAAAAGGAAACAAGTCTATTTGTACGATTATTGCTGCTATTGTAGCATTAGGACAGTCAGAAACAGGGACTCATGTTAACACCATATCATTAACAGTCCTAGTTTTCTTTATTACTGCTAGTATCAGAAGTTAGAATTGTAAAAAGGGCATTCTAATAATATAAATAAGTCAAACCAGAGCTGCATGATAACGCTAGGTACTAACTGTGCCATCTGTGTCTGAAAATCTACCTGGACATCTAAAAAAAAAAAATTTACATATATGCAGGTATATAATATACTGAAGTGTTTTAAAGTCAAGCAACTACAGTTAGGTTGTCCATAAAAATAAAACATTTCAACACAAATGGTGGTGTATTTGGCACACTTGCAAACAATTGAAAACCAATTCTTAAATTAGTGAGTAATAATTAAGTATTTTAAAATGCTAGTTGATCTACCTTCTCACACATCATTTACTACACAATAGCATACAGTCATAATATATATAGCTTATAATGCCTATCAAGGTACCCAATACCCAGTAAATTCAATGCTACAGGGACATAAATATTTCACCCAATATTTGCCTGCCTTAAATAAATGTAGGACTTAAAAGCATTTGAAAGACTAGACAAAAAAGAAATCATCTAGGAATGTTTTTGGTTTTTCTCCAGCTTTGTACTACACAAAATCAGTTAATCAGCCTCAAATATTTTCCTTTTTATAACCCAATAGCCTAATTTGCATAGATCTCATACAGCAATAGAAAAGTATTTTTATAAAATTAGAAAATGACTGTATAACCACAAAGCTCATTTCTGCAGCAAATACAGAAATTTTTTTTTTATGTTGATAATATTGAGTGGAAAACATTCCTTTAACTGAAAATTTATTCCAGGCTAGAAATATTATTATGCACTAGGTTAACAGAGTGCTGAAAAGTTTTAAGTAAAACAAGCTTTTGAAATTGCATATGTGGCAAATTTTTTTTACTACAGCAAATTGAGTAATAAAAATTCAAGATAGATGAAAATCTAAGATGTCCACCACTGAATGTCCAATAAAAATAGGGTCAAATAGATACATGGTCCAGCTAGGATTGTCCAGCTGGACCAAATACCAAAGCATTTACGGTGATTTTAGGATATCTCTTAGTAGGAATCAGGCAAAACAAGCCAGCTCTGCTCCCAAAATCCAAGCAAGGGTTCCAGCAAGGGAAAAAAAACTACCAGCAGGCCCTTATCCTTTTTAATAATCTCAAACTTCTTCCTTTGGCAGTCAGAATAACCAGCATGTGTTAAAGATCTAGAATCACTTTTCCCTGAAGAACTAGCCTATAAATAAGTCACTTCATATCTACTGTACATGTTTATTTTCTTCAACGTTACATTCATATATCCTGCGAACATTCACTCATCTGTATTTGAATCGCCGCCACATCAGTTTCATTAAATAGTTACACCATTATGGCCTCAAATCTCATCGAAATGCCCATTCCCAAGACAACCCACAGACATCTCGATCTAACAAGCAATCACATCTATATACTCTGTTCCCCTGATAATAGGGACTCAATCTCTACCCCTAGATTAATACAGGGATGGTGTCCTGGTTTCGGATGAGGCAGAGTTAATTTTCTTCCTAGTAGCCAGCACAGTGCTGTGTTTTGGATTTAGTACGAGAATAATATTGATGACACACTGATGTTTTAGTTGTTGCTAAGTAGTGCCTACCCTAGTCAAGGACTTTTTCAGCTTCCCATGCTCTGCCAGGTACACAAGAAGCTGGGAGGGGGCACAGCCAGAACAGCTGACCCAAACTGGCCAAAGGGCTATTCCGTACCATATGATGTCATGGTCAGTATAGAAACTGGGGGGGGTTGGGTGGGGGCCAGAGAACCACTGCTCAGGGACAGGCCAGGTGTCAGTCAGTGGGTGGTGAGTCGTTGCATCACTTGTTTTTCCTGGGTTTTGTTCCTCTTTTTGTTGTTTTCCTTTTCACTACAATTTATTATTATTTTATTTTAATTATTAAACTGTTGTATCTCAACCCGTGAGTTTTCTTACTTTTGCCCTTCGATTCTCTCCCCCATCCCACTGGGGGCAGAGGGTGAGCAAGCAGCTGTGCGGTGCTTAGTTGCTGGCGGGGGTTAAGCCACAACACATGGAAGACCACTTCTAGGTAAAAAGCAAGTATCACACGTTCTCTTAGCCACCACTCTGCCAAGCAGCACAACTCCTATTTTACACAGCTTCTCCAAGTCACCATCACCTGAAAAAGCTGGCAGCACTGAACAGCTGACTTGCTGCATCTACATGCTGCTGTGCATTCCCTTTGTCCGTTTAACATAGCAACTTGTCTCAGCTCTCAGACTTAAAACCAGAAGCTTTTCAGAGAGGGCAGTGTCATACATGTCTGCGTGTTCAGTGTCAACCACCCAGCTGGGTTTAAGGACTGGTACAGACAATAAGGCTGAGCTTCCTTGGATCTTTTCCACTACTTTTCTGAGGTAGACTGCTAAACAAGCTACAGTATTAAAAAAAAAAAAAGTAAAAAAGTTGTTTTCATCCACTGACGATATTAGTACCTGTTATCAACTCTCTCAAACATCTCCATCTTACAATCATTTTATGTAGAGTTGCAAACGCGGGCTTTTTTTGTGATCAGGATACATAAAGTTTTTCTGAAACTACTTCAAGCAGTTTTGTGAACATCAGCTTCTACAGCTTGGGTGAGATTCGTTATCTTAAAGCAAAAAAAAGAACATATAAATACAGAGCAGGATTACCTTCCCTTAGACGCTCAACCACAAAAGTGAATCCAGTAGTTCGCGGATGTAAGACATACTCATATTTTTGAAATCTGTTCTTTTCAGCGAATTCATTACTGCGGGCTTTGGTATTGGCTGAAGGCGAGAACAAAAAGCACAATTTTCTATTAGTGTGCATGTAGACCAAGAATATAATTACTATAAGACAGGAACAGTACAACAGAAGTTCACACAGTACGAATGTGCAACAGCTTTTCAGGTGGAGGCAGACTGCAAGTGTGCTTTCAGCTGGCTATAGCGTGGTATGAGGAAGAGCAATGTGGATTGCAAGAAAAGCCTTTTTATCCTCTCATTTCATTTTAGAAAATAATCAGCAAATCTTTCATATTTATCAAATGCAATCTGAAATCTATAAATTAAAGTCTGTTAATAGTTCTCTGTGCACTTCAATACCCATTTTACAGTCAAATGTGTTCATTGGCTCAATTTATTTTTTTTAAACTCAAAAAGCACAATGTATAGTAATGTAGGCTTGATACTATGTACAGAAATACTTTGAGGTCAATGTTTAACCACGTTAAACTTCTTTCAAAAAGAAAACACTAAATGGAGGAAAACAGTTAATCTAATACATTAAAATGGTATTTTACATCTTCATTCAGAACTCGACACGTTTTATCCATCAGCCTGGACTGCACATCCACACCCTGTTTTAATTTTTTAACCAACTGCCTCAGTGTCGCAACACATGCTTGCTACCGTACGCAGAGTACACACGCAAGGCATCTGGAAAGCAGTGGCTAAACCCCATGACAAATGTTTCGAACCTCTGGCAAAAAGAAGTCTCTCACGAGAAAACCGAACAAAGGCTTTTCAGAGCCAGTTGCTAACAGAGCCCACTAAGCAAGGAAGACGCGGACACTAAAGTGAAAACTTCTGAAGACAGGCGGAGAGGAAGCAATTTGTTCTCCGGTGATGTGCAGGAGGCTCGTCCAAGCAGCCACAGTTAGCAGCCAAATGGACTCTGCTGGCCACGCTTATTCCTTCATTGTGGGTACTGTGGTACCTCCCCTGGGGCCAAAAAGCAAGGGACACATGCAATGTTCCCTTAGCAACATGGAAAAAAAAAATCAATTTGATCAAATAACTTATTAAATAACAAGTATTTATATATTTTTATAGGTGTGTTAAAAGACAAAATCCCACAAACAGATCTATGGAACAAAATCATTGCCTAAGCAATATATCATCTTTTTCAAGCAGAAACAGCTCTTTTTTTAAGTGTCCACAGTTAACCTTAACAGAGATGGGAGATAAAGTCATGCAAAACATATTGCTGCTTATTAATCTAACAGAATTGATATTTATAGGTAAGTCCTTTCCCTTACAATCATAATTTTTCCTGTAAAGGAAAAATAGCACAAGTGGACAAACCCACAGCAGTGCGAGATACCCTTTTTGCAGTAATGCAACTTTCCTGCATGTTTCTTTTTTTCCTAAATTACACGGTCTCTGTTTATCAAAAAATGTGGCTGTCCCTCCTAAAGGACCATATACCCATTAATAAATGCTATAGCATATCAGTATACTGAGTATTGACCTGTTGTTTCCATGCATAAGAGAAATGCTTTTCATACATGCAACCCTTAAGATTAGTGCACAGATTTCCTGACCATGTGATTTAGAGGAAAGGAACACTGTTGCACGGTAGCCAAGCAAGTGATTCAGCAAAGAGAATTCGAAGATTTAATTCTTGCCAAATTGCCAAAATGTACAAATACTTGAAAATATTACATGTTCAAAAAGCATTGCTAGAAGTACAGAATGTGTGAAATACTAAAATTACACTTGGCTATGTATCATAAATTTATCTTTCCTTGCACATATGCATTATGTCTTTAACCAATGATCAGACTATTTTTGTCTGCTCAACTACTACCCCATTCAATGTTGAAAACAGACTTTTCTGAACCAGCGAAGGGAACTTGCCTTTAGGACCCCTACCTCTGTGTCAGCAAAACTTGCAAAGTGAGTCATGAGCAAGACTCGGAATGGTAGAAAAGGCAAGAGTAATCTAGTAATTATTAAGTGCTCCTCTGAAAAGCCAGGTTCTACCTCTTAGACATAATTGTATTGCACTATTAGGTCAAAAACTTCAACTCTCTTTTTTCTAAGAAGTTACATTGATCACCAAGAGTGTTCCCATAAAAAGTATACAAGCCAAGAGTTCCTTTCCAGATTCTGAGGCAATTCAAGCAAAATGCTTTAAATTAATTCATCACAAAGTTTTAAGCTAATGTATTGTTTCTTCCAAAGGACGGAGGAAGTGTCGCCTTCATTTTCTGCATATCCACGTTTCGGTTTCACGCTGGAACATTTGCAATTGGCAAATCAAGTCAATCGAAGCTTTGAGACACAAGTGCCATAAGTGTCTACATAAAGCTAAGCAGTCTAAAAAATAAGTCTAAGTCTTAAGCATCTCAAACTGCACATAGTTAATGAGCATTCAGAAAAGCCCTCTCCGTATGTCTGCTCACTAGCACTTTGTTTCAGTGGGAGCATGAAAACTAATTCCTTGGTGTTTGCAAAACACTCCTAATTTGCACCACAGGAAAACCAAAGAGTAAATGGGCAGTTTCATTTTCTGAGCAAGACCTAACTGATGCTGCTAAAAAGGTTTGGGACCTCCACTGCCCGTTGCCTTGAAGTAATCATCTTCAAACCTCCTCTTAGTGCACCTCCCTGCACTTGGAAAGAACTCACTGTAAACATCTGCAAAACATCTTCCAGATTTCCCTTTACTACAATGCCTTTCTAAAAAAGTGTGAACAGCTGGATATTGGCACACCAGCCAACACTATTCGGCTATTTCCTGATATTTGTATCCCTGTCTTGCCTCTGGACTGTAAGTTTTATATAACTTGAGATTGTTCCCTTCCCCTTTTGCATGACCCTAGTGTTAATGGGATTTTAGAACTAGAATAACGCTCCCAGCTAATACAGTGATCATTGTCATCTGGAAAAAATCATCTCCCTCTTCCCTTCTTAAAAACTATCAAGCCACAGGTCTTTGTGGATTAAACAATATTCATCATAGCAAGTCAGGAAGGTCAAAAGGTTTTTGATGCTATTCTGAAAGCAAGGGTAGGATATGCTTTCACTCTACCAAAAAGTAAGAATAACGCCCTTCCTTCCCCTCCTGCCACTCTCAGCATTTGAAGTGAACAGTTTCTTACTCTGCTATTACTTACAAACAAATGCACTGACTGCCACCTCATCCGATGTAAGCACCTTGCTGCCTACTGCTGTTTGGGATCCCTGTGCAAGACACCTGTGACTAAACCTTCTGGGGGAAATGCAGAGCAAGTCTCCTGACTCAGCAGTGGATTCAACAAAAGGTACAAAATGTCATGGTCCCCATTATATGAAACCTACAGGTTAGAAAACTGATCCAGGAAATTAGAAACCCTTTTTTATATCCTTTCCAACTTAAGGGAATTCACACAACAAACACCTCTTTAAAAACCCTTAATCAATACACCAGGCTACAGTTGTCAGCGCTGCAAAACTTATGCAGAAGCCTCATCTTTGCAGTCCATATTATAACATTCTTAGGTGAAAGAATAAAAAAAGTGAAAGATGCCAGATAGTGAAAACACTTCTTTAAAAAGAGGAAACATATGTTCTCTTCTTTGCTTCCAACCAACTAACACAAATTGCATAAAGCAGGGACTGGAAATGAACTCGGTTTAGGTTTCCCCAATCCTGAAAGGTCGCTCACATCATTTGGCTAAGGGTGATATCCCCTCTTGCTCACTCTCACCGAAAAAGTTTCTAGAAAGCAATACTTACTCATCAAGTATTTTCTTTCTTACACTGTATTTAAGCCAAAGTAAATCTACCCCCAGAGTTTTTCCTCATCATTCCTTTTAGGTGTATTTTGCATTTAACTCCTTCTATTTGCTCCTATGATAAAAAAGAAAGTAGAATAATCTATCTTTATGGCAAGCAGCCAGTTTATTAATAGAGGGTGATGTGGGAGCTTTCCTGATCCAGAACTACTTCATGCTCTGTCTCCTCTGGTCTCGCACTGACTTGCCTCTCCTCCCCAGTCTCCTTCAGCTAATACATGCTGCCTCTCAGAGGGTATGTTCTTTGGGGCAGTGACAAGTACAAGAAGTCCAATTTATTTGAGTCTTTAGACACTACAGCAGAGCTATTGTCAAACTACACAAAAGAACAAGAATTTAAAGGTTCTGGCCATAACCTCTTACTTTTTTTTTTTTCCTCCTGTGCTGCCTGTGGTACATTATTTGATTACATTTTTTTTTTCATTTATCTCAAAATTATGTGTGCAAATCCCATTTATCACATTTTTAAATTACCGGAAAAGCTCAGAAAGTCAGCACTTTCTAGAAGCACCACACTTCAGAATTTCATTTAAAGTAACTGGAGGAAGAAATTATGCTAACACATTGTCTTCATTTTTGAGTTACATATTTTTAAGTTAAATTGCTTTTTCCCCTGAAAACCAGAAGATACAATGAACAAATTCAAATTTTGTTTTAATTCAAAACTTGCTCACAAATTAAAAATATAATTTGACTTTAAAAAAAAAATCTCTCAAATTTGACTTTGATGAAAGCCATAATGCAGTAACAAGCTGCATTCGCATGAGTCAGAGTATTTGGAACTAAAACTCCAAGACTTGTACCCAATGAAAAGCTAAGTCTGTGCTCCCCATGTAATATGTATATAATATTAGCCCCTCTCAAACAAACAAGCTCACGTGCTTTTACAGATTCAACATTGTCCATGCTGATGTGTTTTGCTGGATGTCACCCAAAAGAATTAAAAGCTTCTCTCATCATCCTACTGGAAAGCTGATTCTGACAACTTTAATACAACTATTTCTGATCAACTCTCAACTACTTTTTTTTTTCCTGCTAGTACTAGTCCACTGGAATTTGAATATTCAAGTACTACTTTTTCCTTTAATCTGACTTGTGATAAAAGCATGCATGTAGTTCTATGACTTCAAGTACTCTCAAATGATATTGGTACCAGACAGTGAAAGAATAAATGAGTACTCCAGAAATTTCTCTTTTTAAAAAAAACCCTCATTTCTCTATTAGAGGTTTGCTTAGAAAGCATAAAAGCTACATTGGCTCACAGTTAATATTTTAAGAAAAAGGTTAAGCCATTGTTCTTATTTGTGCTATTTTCTATATATTACATGTTAAATCTACCTCTGCCAGTGCTTTTGAACAATATTTTTTTGCATTACCAAAGTACATCATATTTACTAGAAAGAGAAAAATGCAACTGCAGTTCATTGTTACTTTCTGGACAGAATATTGAATGTGTTCCACATCACAACATTCCTGCCAAAATCTAGGCTCTAGCAAGCTTTCCTACTTTTTTTAGCTGTTCCTCAGGGAAGAAAGGTCTGTGCAATCACATTCTGTCCACCTGTTCCCCTTAACTTTTGAAGCTATTGCCACCTGCAAACAAAGTTTGACAGAGACAAGAGATTCAAAGATAATTAAGCGCCACAGGAGTTTCAGAAAAAAACAATGGCTGAGTAAAGGGGAGCCTCCAAGAGTAGAGATCTTAGTAACAGGAAAAGCCAGGGCAGGCTCCACAGGTATTTAGTCTGTCAGGGCTTTCGCACAGCATGCAGCAGTCTGTCGGTTAACACAAGTATTGGGGAGGATGAGCCACAGCACACGATGCCTCTTGCTGAGACAGCAGCAAAGGATTTGTGGAGGAAATTTCACATGGAAGGAAACACAAGGGAAAAGGCGAATTTGGAGAAGAGACCATGTATAGCGATGCAGACAAATCCATCATAGGAAATGAGGCTTTAACAGGCACAGAGCAATACAGCAACTTTTTTTTTTTTTGTTATTGCTTTCTGAAGAATTACTACAAAGAGTCTTGTAAGGAACACCAAGAAAAACAACAGAACAAGCAAAATGGTGGGCTATATTCCAGCTTTCCAGAAGCACTACACTTAGGGTTGCTTTGTTCTCTTCAGGGCTTCAGAAAGTCTGGCTATGTGGTTATCTGCTGAGGGCTTCTTTTTAAGCAATTACAATAAAATACCTTTGATGCACTTAGCTTTAACCTTGAAGTACTCCAGAGTGAAAAGATGACCAACCTATCAGAAATAATTATATAATTATTACCTCAAACCCTATACATTCAGTCTGCAAATACATCGTTTAGGGTTCATGACATTACTATTTCTAAAATTTATTTACGTAGCATCTTCCACTGCAAAGTACTTCACCAACTTGAAGTCAGGCAGTGGCCCATGTATAAATACAGTCATACTTTGCATTTCTTTGAAATCTTCCATTCTTGAATACCTGAAAACATTATATAATTTCTTATAAAGAGGAGTAAATCTGTCATTGTCATGCGGCCACTGAGAGGATAAAAAAAATTACAGTAGCACAGAGCTGCACTGCAATTCTGCTTTTCAGTGAAGTGCACGTAGAATGTTATTTTTCATTTTAAGTACCGGAAGAATTTTGTTTTCAGAATTAATTAGGAGTTTTGGAATTTTTGCCTCTATTTTTGCAAAATGTTCCCGAGGATACTGAGTGACCATTCAGAACAAAACTGAGGTTTATTTCTTATTCTAAAAGATGGAACATGAGGTTGCAATAGGTCCTAATATGTCAATAACATAACAGTTTTCTGAAAATCATTTTTTCGAAATGTTACACAAAAAAACATTATTATGTTCTATCATTCTCATATGGCGTAAACTTATTGCTTGGTCAGGATTAGCTTGTCAAGGGATTTTGCCCTGTCTCCTATAACATTTTAAAATATATGAGCTAATGTTTCCTGTGAAAACAATTAGATAGGGAGAGCTATTTACCTTCACAGAAAAAGTCCCCAGGATTTGCCTGTCTATATACATCTTAGTATGCACAAATGCACCTTACTATGCAAGGTGGCATTCATTACTGATGGCAAGTTAGAGCGGTAAACACCAGACAGTTTAACACGTCAGAAGCCAGCACAGCTGCCCAAGGAAGCAGTGCCCTGTCCTCTCCCCTGCCTGTCACTCCGTCCTTCCCACCGCACTGCTTCCTCCCTGGGGTGCTCAACAAACCAGGGGGAAACAATCACCACCCACCCATCTGGGGTGGCTTAAACTGGCTTCAGAAGAACGTCACAGTTAGCGCAGATATCCATTTGACACCGCAAAGTTAAAGAGTACGTTACACACGTATGAGAAAGAAAACCAGAACAACAGGAATAAAAAAAAAAATTCAGTCAAAAATCTGTGTTCAGAAATCCAATTAATATTAAAAAATTCTCTAAGTGAGGAATCTTATCTGCATGAATTTCTCAGTGAATGGTACAACAGCATATACTTACATTTAGCCCAAGTCATTTATATCAGTTACAACAGCAGAGAGAAAACCCTGTGTTTCCTCAAGCAACTCCACATTCAGGTGGGAGCATCCCTACCACTGCCTTTGGGACTCGGCAGCACAAGTGGTTAATACACCATGGCTGTCTCAGTCCCCAGTAATTATGCTTTTTCAAAACTGCAGTATGAAACTTCCTCAGTTCTTTAAAATCTGTTGTCTCTGAGGAATATTGGAAGGTATTAGAAGGTATATACAATTTATGGAATAAACTACAAACAATCCAAGTCTTTCAATCATCTTGAGATGGAAACACCTGTTCAGAAAGAGAGTGTGAGTGACCCAAGGAGGAGTCTCGTGACTCCATAAATAATATTAATATTTCATCTCATAATTCAGACCTAGGAGGGGAGAGTTCTTAATGAATTCAAAGAAAAAAAAAATTTAAGTGAGATAATTTCCATCCTTCTTCCTAATTTTAGATACAAAGTAACTAATTCAACAAGAGATATCACATGAAGCAGTCCAAGAACGTACAATGAATTTATCCTCTTTTAGGAAGGCTGATCAAGTGATAACAATTCCCTACAGTGTGGTAGCATCTGAATAGTATACATATCCATTTTTAAGGATATCGGAATCAGAAGAAAAAATAGCAGTATATGTTAGTTATTTCTAGACTGTGTCCAGTACTTACTGATCTGGTATTGCAATAAAATATGATTTGAGAATATCTGCAACAGAAAGTATAGTAAAAATCTTTTAAATAAGCTAAAAGGTAGAAGTTTAATTGTAATTGATTTTCTATTTAAAGATCACAGAATCACAGAATGGTTGGGGTAGGAAGGGACCTCTGGAGGTCATCTAGTCCAACCCCGCTGCTAACGCAGGTTCACCTAGAACAGGTTGCACAGGATCACGTCCAGGCAGGTTTTAAATATCTCCAGAGAAGGAGACTCTACAGCCTCTCTGGGCAGCCTGTTCCAGTGCTCTGTCTCCCTCAAAGAAAAGAAGTGTTTCCTCATATTCAAATGGAATTTCCTGTGTTTCAGTTTGTGCCCATTGCCCCTTATCCCTCCTGTTGCTGGGCATCACTGAAAAGAGTCTGACCCCATCCTCGTGACACCCGCCTTTAAGATATTTGTTAAGTGTTGATAAGATCTCCTCTGTCTCCTCTTCTCCAGGCTAAACAGACCCAGCTCTCTCAGCCTTTCCTCATTAGAGAGATGTTCCAGTCTCCTAATCATCTTGGTAGCCCTCCAATGGACTCTCTCCAGTAGTTCCTTGTCTTTCTTGACCTGGGGATCCCAGAACTGGACACAGTACTCCAGATGTAACCTCACCAGGGCAGAGTAGAGGGGAAGGATAACCTCCCTTGACCTGCTGGCCACATTCTTTCTAACGCACCCCAGGATACCATTGGTCATCTTGGCCGCAAGGGCACACTGCTGGCTCATGGTTAACTTGTTGTCCACCAGGACTCCCAGGTCCTCCTCCGCAGAGCTGCTTTCCAGCTGGTCAAGCCCTAACCTGTACTGGTACATGGGGTTATTCCTCCCTAGGTGCAGGACCCTACACTTGCCTTTGTTGAACTTCATTAGGTTCCTCTCTGCCCAACTCTCTAGCCTGTCCAGGTCTCACTGAATGGCCCCACAGCCTTCTGGTGTATCAGCCACTCCTCCCAGTTTTGTATCATCAGTAAACTTGCTGCGGGTACACTCTGTCCCTTCATCCAGGTCACTGATGAATAAGTTGAACAAGATGATGCTTATCAAATCATGCTGCAGGCATGAACCACCACAGAACATTCATACAATGTTTTCTTTTACCAGTAATTGAGTCGTCTTCAACACTGGCAAGAAATCTAACACAATCATTAGTTCTCCTCTTCAACCACTCTTCCATACAACTGAAATGATTTTTTCACCATTTGCCCCAGTAATATGGGAAATGGGAACATGCTAGTGATTTATTCCAGGTCTTGAAACCTACTTTTGCTAATGCAATGTACATACAGGACTGAGCAATATAAAGCCATTTCAATCATCGGATGCTTCGAAATGTAGCAGTTATTTCAGGAAGATTGGCAAAGCCTCTCAGTGGAACTACATTTGTGCCTCTCAAATGAATCGGCACATATGATCATTAACTATAATTTCTACTGTCCATGAGAACCCAGTCTTGCTCCTGCCTTGAGCTTTTTTAAACTATTTTCATCAACAACAAAGAGTCTCCGTGTTCACCATTGCTGACCTTTCCACAAGAAGGTGACAAATGCAGCCTACCTGTGAGATCAGTTCCTTCTGGAAAGATGAGGAGTTGTAGTGGTTCACGAATGTCACAGAAATAATCCAGCATTTTTTCAAAGTGACTCTTGTCATCTTCCCACTTTCTCTGAATGAAAACAAAGGCAGCAACCTGCATCGCCCAGCCTAAAGTTTTAAAAAAAAAAAATACACCTTTAGTAACATTTCACTGATACTTCCACACAGTCTGTTATTCCAAAACTTTTCGTAAATTGTGTTAGACACAACATTTTATTTACTGCCCACCTGTCCTCACCTCTGATTAAGAGCACTTAGTTACCCTGTAAAAGGAGTTTTGGATAGGAAGCAAAAAGAATGCATAATCTAAATAAATAAATCTAAATAAATTTGGAATGGCTACAGTTTTGCAAAACTCAAGTTACCAGAGTTAGAAAAGCTTTCTAGAAAGCAAGAATAGGGTCAATGCTGTCATGAGGTGAAGTATTTAAAACCATGGCCCTCACTATAATATCCTTAATCAACAACACTGCAATGCTGTTAATGTGAGACTGACTTGCTCAAAGGAAGGCACACTGCCCCTACAGAGAAACGTCTCAGCAATGCACTGCAGGGTATAAGAAAGCTGCATTATATAGAGATAGTTGCCTTTAGTAGTGCATGTTAACCATATGCATTGTGCAGAAAATATCTCTTGCTTTGAGGGCTTTATTACACATACTTTCTTATAATTTTCATTACTAATGGAAGAAAATACAAAGTTGTTCTTTACACTTGATTATAGAAAAATTTGACATATATCCATTTGTTTGTATTAATATGCAAGACAACTGTGAAGATTTACAGCCTGACCTCAAACTGACAATGTAATGCAGTTAAATAAAGGAAATTGCTGCTGAGCCTGCAGCTCCGGGGTCACGTTCTTGGCTTTTTTGGTACAATTTAGTATACAATATATCACATAATATTAGACGTTCTGTCCACTAGTTCAGACAGCAGGACGAAAAATCAAGGCTCCAGTTCTGCCAGATGCCCATAATGCTCCTTTCTTAAACAGGGCTCAAAGGAGCATGACATTGCCTTACTGCTGTACTTGGCTATCTTGAATCTCATCAGAAAACCTGCAGATAGATATTCCACATCAAAGAGAAAACATCACAGCTTCCCATTCTCCTCTTTGCTCACCACAGTTCTCAAAAGTCTGTTTTTCCTTTGCTGGTGACTTACAGCATGCTATTCTTGCACTTTATTTCAGCTCCTTTTTACAGGGATTCCTTTCTATTCCGTTCGTGGCAGTATCTTACAAGGAACATATGTTAGAAAATCACTTATTAAAGTTGCCAATTTCTAGATCAACTTCGTAAGTCAGTCAGCCCAGATAATGTATTAACCAAGCTGCATAATCTCTTCTGTATTACATAGGAATGTTAATTGTACTGTTAAAGATTTGTAACCTGTATCATGGGGTAGATACTTTTTATTTTTAAATCAACTAAACAGATGGAGCATGCATAACCAACATGCCTTCTGCAGTCTGGACCTAATGAGTCTCAGATACTCAGATAATGAATGATATCCAGATAACTGAATACTGGAAGTGGTTATATGAATTAAGAAAAGAAATGCTCAGAATGCAGTCTCAGCAAATCTTTTCAAATTTGCATGCTGTACTTGTTAAAAACCTTCTGTAAACAAAACTAAACTTCGACCACAACCTTTTACGTGCATCTATGCACATATCACATTCCCACATCTGCAGTGTCAAGAAGTATCAGTACAGCTTTATTAATAGAGGCTATCCATGTTTAAACAAATTATTTGCACAAAAAAATAAAGGTCAATTTTAAAGTAAATGAAACATAACTTACGTAATTTAACTATGCTCTCTTCTGGCATTTAATCATCCCCTACTGCTACAATGCATTTCACCACAATGGTGCAAACCCAATATTTTAAACTGAACTAATCAGGGCTTCATTTTCATATTTGTCATTGTGTTATATAAAGAGGACATCTTTTCACACCAAATGTTGCCAAATACCAAGTGGTGCCAAAACATTTGGTTGCTCTAGAAGGTACATGGAAATGGTATGAAGCTGCATCAGGGGAAGTTCAGACTGGACATTAGGAAGAGGTTCTTCACTGAGAGGGTGGTTGGTCACTGGAGCAGGGTCCCCAGGGTAGTGGTCACAGCACCAAGCCTGCTGGAGTTCAAGAAGCATCTGGACAAGACCGAGTCATATGGTTTCATTTTAGGTAGTCCTGCAAGAAGCAGGGGGTTGGACTCTATCATCCTTACAGGTCCCTTCCAACTTGAGAAATTCTATGATTCTATGATACCTCAATCTGAAATAAAATTCATAAAAATGACACAGCAAAGGAAAAAAGCCCTCTAAGCAGAAACAGAGATGCCTTGTACCTTACCATTTACAACTCTGAGAATGTAGATGCTCCATGGGACAGAGTGGAAAAATACATAGAAATTAGGAAAGTTGTGCTGTGGTTTTGGGGTTTTCCAATCATTCTTACCTCTCAGCCCAGATCTTTTGTATGTTTTATGTACCTTAGACACTACGACTAAATTAGGTTATGCAAAACCTGTACTGTGCTAAACTATTTTATTGTGTGGTATCACACATCAGGCCCAGATTATTCAGTCATTGGGTTCTCATTGCAGCAGAGGAGTCTGTATGCAGAAAGAAGGGAAACGAAGCAAAATAAATGCTCACTTGGGAAGCCTGCTGATACTTTCCCAGGTCAGCAGCTCCTTAGGAAGAGTGATTTTGGTCCATAATAGGGAGGGAGCATGGAAAAAAACCTCACTGCCAAATCCCACCCTCTCCCCTACCTTTCTTCATGCAGCACAAGGCTTTAAATTATATGGAAACTTGCATATAAACTCCTTCTAGCAATCATTCTTTAACAGCACTGTGAACATCAAATTACAAACACCTTTAGCTGCTAAGAAAGCTGCTGCTTGGGTGACTCGTATTTTACCTGACTAAACTGCCTTAAAGCAGAGGATATAATGCAGTAGTTTCCCATTCCTGTCCTAAGTGGTGGTGTTATACACGAGCAACGAAAAATTAAACAGAGGCAGTAATGTAATGACAGTAGGGTGTCGGGGAGGAGGAAGAAAGAAAGAGAAGGAAGGGAGTTGGGAGGCATCCAGTTTTTAAAATAAACAACAGGTTTGATTTTCTAACCTTTCAAATAGATAACATTCAGTGTTCTGGAAGAATTTTTCTATCTTTAAGTGTATATCTAATTAGGTAAAACAGTCCTGACTGCTCAATAAGAAAAGATTATCTAACAGTCCGACAACTAACAGCAAAGGACCCAGGTTTTCCTCCCCACTTACCCCAGCACAGCACACTGTGCCAAACTATTTTACCACTCATGAAAGTGGAAGAATCTTCCACATTTGCTCAAGCTTTAAGGCCTCCAGTGAAAGGCAACAAAAACATGAATTACTGCCTTCAACCAAAACCCTGGTCCATGCACCAGTGGGCAGAATGCCCGCTGTTTACATGTCTCACCATCCCACCAGATTCAAGCGGGAGAAGAAACCCCGCACAGGCTTGCCGACACATGCCTTTGAACAAAGCAAAAGGAGCTCTCGCTTTGATTTCCGTTCCACAGTGTGTCTGCATTGTGCTGCTGGAAAAACAACACGTAACAAGTCTGAGGCACGACGTGGGATCCACATGGGAATGCCCAGAGAAACAAGAGGAATTCAGTAAAGCAATGGGCAAAATGAAAGGTTTTACTAATCAGCAAGATTTACGATTAAGCAGCAGAAGAAAGTACCTTCTCATGTGCAGCCTGCAGTGAGACATGCTGTTCAGTTAATTATTGTTAAGTTTAGGCCAACATACTGTCCGAGAAAAGTAATTATATTTTGCTCTTTTGCATAACGGTTTTGGTCATCTAAAAGCTCCCAGGCAACAGGCGTTGTCCTAGCAAAGGCAGCATTTACTTGACTGGGGAAAAATGGTTGTCTTGATTTGCAGATTCTTGAGAAATCATCAGTTATTAAAACATAGCAGAGGAATGGTGAAGCTAAAAAAATCATAACAATGCAACTCCACTTCTTTGCTAAAACAGTCTTCTTGTAATAAGCGACATTTCTGATAACTAACATTGTCTGGAAAAGTATACAGAACGCATCACACTGCATAGCTCTTGTTCAAAATTGCAAAATGGCAGCATGAAAACCTACTAGGTTGAACAGCCAGCCATACTGACCTTTAAATCAACTTTTCAAGCTGAAAAAATAAAAAGGCAGCTTCAAATCTTAAGTAACACATACACACTAATGATATGTATTCCACGCTTCAGTAAGGCTTTATCAGGACATAATTCTACACTGAAAAAAATTATACTTACACAAAAAGGAAAGCCTGCTATTGAACCAGAGAAATGTGCTGTACATATGAATTTCCTTGCTGCCTTGGGGATAAAGCAAATTATAGCTTATGCAGGTGGGAATTTGCAGCACTGTATTAAAAATGCTAGTTGCAAGTATAAAGCTTTTTAAATTCTAAAGACCCTACACTTCTGTTTTCCCCACCCCAAAACCCTTTAAAAGAAAATAACACTTGAAGCTGAAATTTCTTAAGTCTGTTTTCTTTGCTAAGGTAATTTGGGAATACGTAGATACTAAGGATGGAGGCGGCAATGAACAAAAGGGAGAAAGAGGTGAGTTTTGCAGAAAACGTCTTTGTTTGGGTTTGTATCACAATTTTTTGTGCATTTCTGTAAGTATCTCGGAAATTAGGTATCCCCAAAAATGTCATGTCTCTGTAAGAGGAATATTATGGCTGATATTGAAAGCAAACATACACACATCAAGCAAATGGTATCTGTGTTTCCTATAGCAATGCAACAGAACAGCTAATACTACTAAACCTCCCTGCAAACAAATTCAATAAATGATTCAAAACTATAGAAACAAGTAGGAAAGTAGAAGGCCTAACTATGGGATTTCATTATTATATTCGTTCATCCTCCCTCTTTTCTTCCACTGCACTAATCACTGGTTTTTCATAGCATTATCTTGGTCAAAAATACAAACATTATTCAGCGCGCCTGTATTCAGCAGGGGTCTGGTCCTGATCAGGGCTTCTGAGGCAACAGTGAACCAGATGTCTAGGCTTAGTAAGGGA